TATACCATTACACTAATATTACTTGAGCTTTCATTTCCGTTTTCCTGTTTTTTAACCATTATTCAATATCATATTCAGACACATTAAATAAACTATGCATTTTGATTCTTAATTCATTGCTTGATCTAACTCTGGTTTTTGATAAGCTGAAGATTATGGCTCACACACTGCACCAAGGTTAAGCTAGATCAGCCTGCCAGTACTAATCTGCTGACAGCGTGGCGTTTCTGTTCAGGTGAAAACAGCGGCATTGCAGGATTGAATGCTTGAGCAGAGCTGTCAGATGCTGTGCTGAAGACAGTATCGGGTATTACAGTCAACCAGAGGTCATTACCACATAGTGGAGGACAGTAGTATCTTAATCAGTGCTGGTAGTAGTTCAGTGATAGGTGTTTCAAAGTCTGTAATGATGTACTGTATTGAGTGGCAATGTATGCCAATGCTAGTAACCTGTAATGATGTACCATACCATAAGGTGATTTATGCTTACTCTAATAAGTCAAAAGATGTTCTGTATCCAGTGCCAATTTATGCCAATCTTAGTAAGTCTGTACTGACACAAAAGGTAATTTATGCCATTGTTTGTAGATCTGTAACAGTGTCCTGTACCAAGTTCTGATACATGCCAATGCTTGTAGTCACCATTTCCCATGAAAGTATGTGCCAAGTATCGTACACCAGGCACAGGAGAATTTTAATCTGATGATATGGAGGGTCATGGAGGTGTTCGACCATGTACTGTCCATCTGAAGAGTCTGAGATGTTGCAATGTGTGAAGGATGATCAGGCATTTTTTTCTGTGTGTTGCTAATGTTGGGTGTGGCTTGCTTGTTGCTTTGGATTTTCCATGCTGAAACTGTGTGCTACACTCTGAACTCAAATTAGATATGTCTTAATAAAAAGTATCAAAATTACTTTGAAATTGTCATGAAAACATGATTTTTGTGGTAATGTTAAATTAAGAGTAAGAACATATTTGTTGCAAGTTGTTGTAATACAATTCTTTGTCCCGCCTGGAATCAAGTGGAATATTTTTATGTACAGATAGTGATGCTGTTACACCAATCCGGTCAGAGCGAGCTCAGAAGACTTCATCGGCAGGGACGTTATCAACCGTCATCACAGACCAGGAGGAGGATGATGTGGACACAGAGAGTATGCCCATTGCACCCCAGCCTCCCAGGTCCCCCAACCCTCGAACAATGAACCAGAAAGATGCACCATCCTCATTCACCACAGAGAATTCATCACAGTTCAATCAGGTAGTGACTCGACGACCACACTCACCATTACACCCACCATTACACCCACCATTAAACTCACTTTTACACCCACCATTAAACTCACCTTTACACCCACCATTAAACTCACCATTAGACCCACCATTAAGCTCACCATTAAACTCACCATTACACTCGCCAGTGCACTCACCAATACACTTAACAAGCTGTTTATCAGGCTTGGAAAAAAAGAAAACATTCCATGTATTGTAAAAGGCAAATATTATGGATGACAACTTCTTCTTTATTGTATGTCCCAACGTTTCTGGGGTATTCTTTGGGCCATTGTATATACATGCAACACTGAATTCTGGTACATTTAGTATATATACTCATCTTGTTTGTTTCAATTCACCTGACGAAGGTGCAAGGAATAGCCCAGAAACGTTGTGACATACAATTAAGAATGAGTTATCATCAATAATATTTGCCTTTTACTTGAATACCAACTTCTAAATACCTCTCAAGAACCTCATTCCATGTGTAGCATCTGTAAACATCAAATAAATGCAAAACAAGGACACATGGCAATATTGCACAGGTAGCCCAAATACAGTATGCATGATAACAGCGAGATCATTGAGATATACTGTCAGTTTACAACCACTGTAAACACAATATCGAAAAGACTAAAGTCACAATGCATGAATGGAATAGAAATGATCACAGTCAATACCATGTTTGTCTATCTATGATATGTTTGTGTTGACTTGTGGCTATGTCTGTTTGCAGGAAGGCAATAATGCTGATGGACCTGCCATGGGTGCTGTTGGACCTCGGGTTTACACCCCCGACCCCGGTGAGGATCTGGATGACTTTGTTCTCCGACCTGCGTCACAGGGTGTAACCATCAAATGTCGTATCACAAGGGACAAGAAGGGTGTGGATCGTGGTATTTTCCCTACCTACTTCCTTCACATGGAGAAGGATGATGGCAAAAAGGTGAGAGTAATTGCATCATGCCACGTCTGCTACTGCCACGTCTGCTCCTATGTAGGCTGTAAGAGTCCAGATCAGCCCAGCCCAGCTCAATAAAATGTCCAAAGATGCTGCAAATGTTATCCATTATAGTATTTTTGCAGGCAATGCTTTCTTCAGGCAAAAGAGTTTAGCATGATTCTAGATACATCTCTCAGGCATGCCCAACCTCAAACTATGATCTTGATGTTTTGATCAGATATCATTCAGTGAAAAGACTAGTAAGCTTTAGTCCACAATATTAACACTGACAGCTTTCTTGCAACTGAAGTCATTGTTTTGTGTGTATTCAGACATTCCTGTTAGCTGGAAGAAAACGGAAGAAGAGTGCGACGTCAAACTATCTGATCTCAACTGACCCCACCGACCTGTCACGTGCAGGAGAGTCTTTCATTGGCAAACTCAGGTATGACCTTGTCAGAGTCACCATCTTTAGGGACCGTCCATAATTTATGGCTAGGGGTTTGTTCTGGGGAGCTGGGGTGTCAGCAATTTTGTACACACGTACTAGGGGGGTCAGCAATTTTGTACATAAATATAATGTTTAAATTTATGCTTAGAAATTATGGAAGGGGGGGTGTCATTGATTTTGTACATGACATGCAGGGGGGTCACCTATTTTGTACATAATTTTTTTAAATTTTTTTTTTTGGCGGGAAGGGTTCATTCACATTGTACATGCTTCTCCATAAAAATCATCATCACCCCCCCTAGCCATAAATTATAAACGGTCCCTTATTTGGCAGTCATTTTTTTTTTTTTGATTGATCCAGCAAATGGCTGGGCACATGTTACCCTGGTCCTGGAATTTAATCCCAAGTGATACTCCTGCGTCCCTTGTGGCTGTGGTTAATGTTCACGTCAATCATATTTTCACTCCTAAATTTTCATTTCAGGTCTAACCTTCTAGGGACACAGTTCACGCTGTTCGATAATGGTGACAACCCCAAGAAAGCTGGGGATGGGGCGAGACGTGAGATGGTTGCTGTTGTTTATGTGAGTAGTTTCTAATTCTCAGTTCAAAATAATTTGAATTTTGCTGTATGTTCCAAATGGAATAACCCTGTGGGGACCACGGTGAGGTCCCCCAGTAAGTATATATGCATCTGTTAGGGATGTCACGATAAGTTTCATGAATCGATACATATCACGATTCGATATGTATCACGATACCTATTTTTGCAGCATTATTACGTAAATTTAGTTACATTTTGAACATTAATGTCTCATATTTAATAATTGTCCATGTAAAAATAATTCTCAGAGATTAAAAAGTTCTAATTTTCCATCTTTGTGCATGAAAAATAATCATTTATAGCTCTCATATCATCAAAAAAACAAAAATGTAAATGATGCATAAATATATTCAAACCGATACTTTCAAAACTAAATATTGATGTGTCATCATAACCCAAATGGTGCTTGTAATATCACCTACTGTTTTCCTGGTATTTACTTGATTATCAACAACTTTCCATGATATAACTGGAATATGAACGGCACAAAACAGCAGCAAACTGGTTAATATTGACAGTGTGACTTTTCTTCACACATGTCATTCTCTTCAAGATCAGATTTAGAGTGTGGATATAGATGATGTTGTCTTCTTGTTCTTATTGAATGAGGGGCGGTGGGGTAGCGTAGCGGTTAAAGTCTTCCTCATGACAAGCGAATGCTTTAACTGCGAGGGTGCCCAACCACTTCTCTTATTCATATTACATGTGACAGGTCTGATATATACATCTACAGTGACATTACCCTTGCTTTCAGGAAACAAATGTGTTGGGCTTCAAGGGTCCTCGCAAGATGACAGTCATCATCCCTGGGATGAATCTGGACCACGAAAGAGTGGACATCAAACCTAGAGGGGTGAGTGAAACCTAGAGGTGTGAGTGGAACTCTGGGAGGCTGCATGTCAAGGGACATAACTCTGGAGCAGTAATCAGAACATTTCTATGCTTCATATCTGATAGTGGAATCTAATCTACTGTAGTTTTATATATTTTGAATGAAAGTTGATGAAGGCTGTTGCGGGAGTCTTATGCCTATGAGTTTGTAGCTACTGAAACAGTGAATCAGTGTTTGTTTTTGCTTAATTAGTGTGTGATTAGGTGAAATGGTGTGTGTTGGTGCAGAATAAGTGTGTGTTGGTGCAGAATAAGTGTGTGTTGGTGCAGAATAAGTGTGTGTTGGTGCAGAATAAGTGTGTGTTGGTACAGAATCAGTGTGTGTTCTAGGGGAATCAGTGTGTATTGTTAACTGGGTATGTTGCAGGACCATGATGGGCTGGTAGAGCGGTACAAGAGGAAACACATGGAGAACCTTCTGGAGCTTCACAACAAAACACCAGTCTGGAATGACGGTCAGTACAACTTCGCCTGTTGCTATCAACCATTAGTCTGTTGGGTGGATTCAGCTATTTATCAATATCAGCTGATTTGATAAAACTGGAATAATTATGTCTTCAGACACTGAATAGTTTGCTAATATAACCACTTCCACTATTTACCTACTGTTTTTGAGAAGTCTGTTATGTCTGACATGTTTCCATGTGGTGTTTCAGAGACCCAGTCCTACGTGCTGAATTTCCACGGACGTGTCACCCAGGCTTCAGTGAAGAACTTCCAGATAGTACACGACAATGATGGTACGTTACAACTGTGTGGAATGGCTCCTAGGGCAGTGGGGTAGTCAAGTGGTTCAAGAAGTTTGCGTGTCACACCAAAGACCTGGGTCCAGATCCCAACATAAGTCCAGAGCCCATACTCTCTCACTACAATAGCTCCTTTTCTCTATAGCAGACCTTAGAATTTGATTTGATTATCTAGAGAATTTTATTACATGCAGATATTCTAAAGTTTGATAAGATGATTACTTGCACCATTTTTTGCAATGTTGGTCATTATAGTAGCTAAATTTTTCCTTATCCTGACTCATGCTCTTTTGCTTGTCTTCTTCTTCTTGCGAACATAGTGGAACACTTGTATCTCCTTATTTGAAGCTCCCTTCAAAATAAAATCACTAATTGGTACTCACCACGAGTTGCTCCCCTTTGTCTCCCCTGGCGGGAAAAGGTGTCGCCACCCTCTGGCCATGTGCTTCACTCTCTCCTTCTTCGCCCAGTGAGCAGGATGTGAGAGCGCCTTGTGTCTCCTTACACACATATCCTTTGATAATCTCTTAGTTTTTACCTCTCATAGGTTACTATAGAGGTATAGCTAGTATCCTTTACTATTTGTATTGATTAATTATCGTATTTCTACTGTTTATTCACGTGTATTAAGTGATTGTTCAGCTAACTTTACGTTCATGAAAATCTGTACGATTTGTAGATTACGTTTTTCTGCCTCCGATCCACATGTAATATGCCCTAGTTGTTCTACGCGTGTCGCGTTTAATTCCGTTGCAGTTACTGCATTAATTTATCTCATTCTGCATTTAATAAATATCATCTTTGCGTCTTAAGGCGTGCTGCAGATAGATCACGCAAACAAGGGCAAAACATGGCAGAGAGTCCAGATATTCCTTCCAGTCAGCTGCTAGCGATCGACCCTCTCCGTCTGGTGTTCTGCTAGAGACCCCTCGCGGCAGAGGAACGTGGGGCCGCAGTCCGTTACCTCGAAAAGCGACCGGCCTCCCCAGACATCCGTCATTGCAGACTAAGTCTAAAGAGAGGGCCTCATCGTCGTCTCAACGCAGATTGAGGACACCCAGGGCAGCATGAACTTCCAAAGGAAATCTCTGAAGACAGCAAGAACTTTCTCAGCCGAGATCGTTCCAGCAGCAGAGTTGGGCCTCTACGATGATCAGCGATAATCATCCCGACTTCTACGGCAGAAGCGACCGGTGTCAGCGACTGTGACTTCTGCAGAGATCTCCATGCAGCCTGATGCCTCTACACCGGCGTCAGGCGTCATTGATGTGAACCCCATCGCGAGAAAAGCGCCCGGCGACTTCGTCTAGATCATCCCAGAAGACATGATGCGGCAGATTATGAACATCATGGAGGACCACCACAAACTGCGCCAAGCAGGGTCCGAGCTCTTCAAGGCTCCAACGTGAACAGCACCCAGAGGCACCCCCGTCCAGCGTAGCCAAGGCGATGTCACCTTCGCGAAGGAAGTCCGCTTTACCTTGGCGAAGGACCTAGATGTACAGCCCTTCCGAAGGCCTTCGCTAAGGCGGGAGAGATCATCACCATCTTCGATTTCATCTCTAGATATGGACTCAGACCATCAGACATCACGGAAGCCTTAGCGAAGGTCATATCATCGATCCCGGACGGGCGCCAAATGAAGCTTGAAAGCATTCGCGAAGGACATATGATTCAGATCTTCATCGTCTAGAAGAACATCGAGGGACTGCGAAGAGCTTCGTGAAAGCTATCAACATTCACCTCACAAGTCTCGAGAAGATCATCCCATAGGCGATCTCCACTCCGTTCATCACCAGGTCGATCACCCATCAGATCTCCACATAGAGCGGCACAAGTCAACTAGATGCCACAAACCTCATCAGATATACAGACAGCTACGCAGTCGAAGAGCATCTACAATTTATTAATGATGATGGTTTGAGGATGATGGAGGAATCATATTTTCTGATGCAGAATCACGGTATTGGATGGTCAATAACCTAGATCTCACATCACCATCTAAAAGTGGCAATACAGCTCAGGCGTATTTGATGAAGGAAGATGATCCAGATGCAATCACTCTACCCCGATCGACCCGATTGCGGCAGTGCCACAGAATCTAGATGCAGCTTTCCGAAAGCTCACGAAAGTTCAGATACCACATCTACCCAACTTTCAAGCCAAGAAGTTCTCCACGCATAACATGGACTCCTTCTACAAGGCCCAGGACATCGATGAGAACTATAAGATCATCAGCGATGTAAAGAACAAGATTTACAAGATGGATGATGCGCCAAGTTGGCTCATATAGAAACCATGGCGAGGCGTATGTTCTTTGGGTTAAATAGATCTAGGGCGATCAATGAGACTCTTATTACTAGATTCGGGGATTCCACGGCGGAAGATGATAGAATGATTTATTCTGCCTTTTACTTATGCAAAAGAAAGATCAGCAGTTTTTAGCGGATCATCTTACATCTGTTTCAGCAGCACTGACCTTAGCTTCGTCGTCAAGGCCTCCTAAGCCTCCTGTAATTGGGGAGAACTTTACAGCCCCACTTTATACAGCCCGTGGTCGACAACATCCATCTTTGGCGGAGAAATCGACAAGGTCGCCAAGGAAGTCTCTAAGGATTCCAGGAAGTCCTTATGATTAGATCGATGGACACAGCCAGCGTCATTAGGTCAGACTTCACAAAGATACTCAGGCAGATCTAAGTTCCGCGGGCCTACAAAGAGCAAGAGACAGGAAGATAGCCAGCTCTAGAGGTAAAGATTCTTTTAAATAAGCCCATATGGCAACTATAGAGGGGGATCAGGAAGAGGCAGGACACCCAGAGGTTCCGCAATTATAGGCGCTGAAACACAGGTTCGAACGACTGGAGTCTTCCACCCCAGCCGTTCCAGTACAACCAGCTCAAGTGGGTGGGCGCCTCCAACTACACTGGGAAAACTGGGGGAATACTGCAAGATCCTTCGTCTCCAACATTATTCAACACGTTTTCTCAGATCCTCTACAGGACAAGCCTCATAACGACAATCAAACCCCCAAGTTAGATTTACAAGCGCAACAACTACCAAAGATAAAGAGGCTGTCTCATCACTCCTATCCAAACAGGCCATAGAAGTAATAGATCAAGCAAATGTCGAACCAGGTTTCTACTCCCCAGTTTTCCTAGTTCCCAAAGAAAAACTCCACGGAGAAATACAGACTCATCTACAACATGAGCTTTTTCAACAAGAACTATCTCACGCCAAAACCACGAAGTTTCAGCATGATACATTTACCTCAGTTACGCCAGATGATTAGGCCCTATGGACTACATGGGCAGCATAGATCTACAGGATGCCTACTTGCACATCCCCATTCATCCCGATTCCAGGAAATACCTACGATTTACTCTAGAAGGGCTACATTACCAGTGGAAAGTACTCCCCATTCGAATATCATCAGCCCCTGGCTATTCAATGAGGATAACGAAACCGATTATCAAATTTCTACATCGTCAAGGGCTACGCAAGTCGCGCTTTTACCGACGGACGGGGATACAAGTAGATCAAGATCCACTCGTCTCAAACTACAGTTAAATTACATCATAAAGCTACTAACACAACTAGGGTTGGTTAGTAAACTTACGCTAAGTTGGACCTAGTACCATCGCAAGACCTACAGTTCCTAGGTATTCGATTCATCACAAATCGCATAACCAGTATTATGGTACCAGAAGACCGTTGGCTCAAGATACAACAGACCATTCCACCAGCTCTACTCTCTCCCGTTACCACTGCGACAATGGCAGAGCCTACTAGGTCTTCTCACATCAGCCCAAGACATGACTGTCACAGGCAGATTACAGTTACGTCCCCTACAGGTCCTCATCAACGCACATCTCAACGATGTACAACCATTCAGTCTACCAAAACATCTCAGACCACATCTACTATGGTGGACCAAGAAATCGAATGTCTCATGAAGGGATTTGTTTAGCAGAGCAGGAATACAAAACCCATCTGTATGTAGAGCGTCACTCCCAAGTTTGGGAGCTCATCTCACCAACCACACGATATCAGGGTTATGGAATCAGCAAGAATGCAAACTCCATATAAACAGTCTAGAAATGAAAGCTGTAATCAACGCTATTCTACATTGGAGCACATTTCTACAAAATCTTGGCCTAATGATCCATACAGACAATTGACAGTGGCGTTCTACATAAACAAGCAAGGCTCAAGCGAGATCGATGAACCTTTTGAACCTAAGCTTTCAACTGTTCGATTTAATACAAGATCTAAATCTACATGTCAGAGCAGTGCACATTCCCGAGCCAGAAATATACTAGCAGACGCTCTCTCTCGGCCTCATCTACCATCACCGACAGAGTGGATGATCAACCGGAAATTTTTGCACAGATAATCAAGCAATTAGAGCGCCGCTAATAGACCTATTCGCCAGCGATTCAACAATCAGCTACCGACATTAGGTGTCACCAGTCCCAGATCCCCAAGCTTGGGCAACGGACGGCTCTAAGTCTATCATGGGAAGGCCTCACGCGTGACAGCGTTTCCGCCAGCAATAATACCTCAAGTATTACAGAAAATCAGACAAACACAGAGCCTACAACTCACTTTGGTCGCCCTACTGGCGGCCAGAGCGTGGTTTCCCATACTAATTCAAGAAATCGGTCAACCAACACTGGAGCTACCCAGCGCATAAACCTGTTAATTCATCCTCACACCAAACAAGTGCACGGAAACCCAGCAATGTTCCAACTACACGTATGGACTGTATACAAATGTGTTTAAACAAGAGAGGATATTCTGCCAGGGCGGCAAAAGCAGTCACGCTTGCCTTTTACGTTACTCAACTTCGTGAATTGTGTACGGCGACAAGTGGCACAGTTTGAAAATTATGCAACAAAGAAAGGGTTTACAGCAAGAGAGCTTCACAACCTCAAGTGGCAGACTATTTGTGTTACCTGACGGCAAAAAACAAACATTTAAAAGGTTCAACGATATCAACATATCTTGCGGCTTAGCTCTGTAATCACCATGAGAACGGGTGTCAAATTGACAAGATCTCCAGAGTTACTGGCCTTACTACGAGCTTTCGATTGGAGGACCAAAAGCGGAAGTTCCAGCCCAGCTTGGGGATCTGAATGTAGTGTTACAACACCTCACGAGAGTGAGGTCTATGAACCCTTGGAATCGACAAACTTTGAATTTCTCTCACAGAAAACATTGTTTCTGCTATCGCTAGCCACAGCAGCAAGAATGTCTGAAATTCACGCTCTGGATTACGAGAGGATACAGTTTGATGACAATCATAACACAGCGCACCTCCATTAAGATGGGATTTCATTGCAAAGAATCAACTGCCAGGTCAACCAGACAGATTATTCCACATCCGGCTATCCTCTATTCTCGGATCACAAGATACACAAGACCTATCACTGTGTCGGTAAGAGCTCAAAGTTTATTTACTGACGATCCAAAACAAGGAGAAGATTTCTCAAGCGTTTATTCATCCCATTATCGCCTCACGAATCAAACAGAAGTGTCACGGACCACAATATCTATTTGGATAAGGACTGTCATTCTCCGTGCCTACAAGGCAGCAGGCTTGGACCCACCAACAGCATCAAATCCACATGAGATCAGGGCACTGGCCTCTACCCTCGCCCTACACGGTAACTGTTCCTTGAACACTACGATTATGGAAGGATGCTATTGGAAATCTAACATGGTATTTGCTAATCACTACCTAAGAGACATCACTACAGAAGATGTCTCTGGCATTCACCATTTCGGACCACTGGTCCTCGGCTCAGCAACTGACAGTCCCTCAGAGGGTGTTAAAATATTAGCCTCACAAGATTAATATGTATTTTTATACATACTCATCTAGCTTATAACTCTAAGGAGTTTTAGGGCTATGTATATATGTTCAGCTTAAGTATTCTACCTTAAGCATATACTTGGATATAGTCAATTTCAGTGCCTCTATCAGAGTCACCTATATATATATATATATAATTTATATGTATTGTTCAATATATTCATAATGTAATTCCCCTTTAATGGCTTTATATAACCTATGGTTTTCTTTATACAGGAAACATCCTAAATCTAAGGCTTCATGAAGTTCCCGTGAGGGAGATATTACAGTATATCTATACAAAATCACTAATTATAAATCCAAAGTATTCTGTTACCCACCTCCGTTCCAGTAGGATGCTACAAGCAAAGAGCATGAGTCAGGATAAGGAAAAATATGTAATTTTTTTAGAGTAAAATTGATATTTTATACTTATCCTGACTCATGAGGTTAACCCTCCCATCCTCCCACATAACACTTTGGATTTCCCTGTAAATTCAAGTGTTGGGCTCGCTAAATCAGGAGAGAGTGGAGCACATGGCCAGAGGGTGGCGACACCTTTTCCCGCCAGGGGAGACAAAGGGGAGCAACTCGTGGTGAGTACCAATTAGTGATTTTATTTTGAAGGGAGCTTCAAATAAGGAGATACAAGTGTTCCACTATGTTCGCAAGAAGAAGAAGACAAGCAAAAGAGCATGAGTCAGGATAAGTATAAAATATCAATTTTACTCTAAAAATTACATTTTCAGTTACTGTTCAGAATGCCTGTGTTTAGATATCAGAATTTGGAAAGAGTTCATTCCGTTCCACCATATTGTTTTGTAACATTACCGTGCCTGGGACCCTTATCATACAAAGTGGTTCGACGCTATATATTGTAATTAATTTTTGGGCTTTTAGTTATTTTTGTGAGTTCTCTAGTAATTGTTGTGTTAGGTTTTGTTGATAATTTTCGTATATATTAATTTATACATATTATTTGGCATGGGGGAACGGGAGGAACTCTTACCCAGAATTCAGACCACCATTTTTACATTGGACATGACTGTTCTCCTAAACTCTTGTATTCATATCATATTTGACACAGCATATCTTTATCAGTTCTACTCTCTACTTTAAAATGAAATGAATGTTTAGCCTTAAATATCAGTATGATTTATAATACTAAACGGTTCCTTGGGGAGGTGATGTTCATGATGTTGAATAAGATTTTGTGTTTCTTAACTGGAACATACAAAATATTTCATTATCATTGTCCTGTAAACTGATAAAGGTTAAAACTCATAGATCATACATACTTCTCAAAATAACATGCAGGGAGTCATGATGGCTCATATTTTCTGAATTTAGATGAAACCTGTAAGTAGCATAGTGTTATCCGTATCTAACTACTGTATGTAGATGATAGCAATTGAATTCTATTATTTCTGCAGTTGACTACATCGTGATGCAGTTCGGCCGTGTGGCAGAGGACGTGTTTACCATGGACTTTAACTATCCCATGTGTGCTCTACAAGCGTTTGGCATAGCACTCAGTAGCTTCGACGGCAAGTTAGCGTGCGAGTGACCTTCACCTTGGATACATTATAAGATGGCTGATGGACAGTGGGAATCCGAGTGATGTAGTACTGCCTGCTGCATGGCAACACTGCATGGCAACGGGGTGCAATCAGTAGGAATATCTATATCTCTATATATATGTATATACGTGTACTAAGCCAAAGCATGGCACGGCCCCGTGTGAGCCTGACTTGCCATGCAGAGATGAGCTACAAGAAGGAATATTCACAAAGTATCTAGCTTTTTGTCTTTCAAGATCTAGGTCACAAGAAATAAGTTCAAGTGCTAACGGGAAACTTGAAGGAATACTGACTTGTCAGAGCGAGCAGGTGGAAGTAGGGCTGCTCTGCATGACAGGGTATGTTTCTCACATGTGTTCTTCAGACAGAGTGGGCCTTGCTACATCGGAATCTGGACGCGTCATCGGATGTTGCAGCATCATTTCCATGCATTGACTTCATCAGGACCTGGCGTCTCCTTGTCTGGTCAGATGTGTGCTTGGCCTGCCATTTAGTTTAGTTTGTAAACTTACAATTTTGAGTTTATGTCTAGGTACTCAGTAGACATAGCACCTACTCAAGTGTGCATCATGTTTCACTTAGAAGAGTTTATTTGAATTTCTGTACGCTGATGCTAGAGCTATGTGTGATGTACGAGGTTGGAGATCCATCCAGCCAGAGGTTGTGAATGTTTGTAATATTTGTGAAGCAATTGTCGTAGTTATGCAATGTCTTAGAGGAGATGTCTTAGAGGAAATGAATCAAAATATGATGATGTTAAATGACAACAATTTCACCTCTTCTCTGGCTTTGTTCGTGGATTCTTTCCGCATGTCCGATGTTTTATTTATTTGATATTTTGTTGTGCTGTTAGCACACTCAGTGACTCCGCCCATTTCACATGGCGGTATGGCCTACCCACACTAGCCATTGTCCTACTGCCCCTTTAATCATGTCCACATTCCAGCAATGCTGTGATCCATGAACACCCACCGTGTCTGGGAAGTAGAAACTAAATTAACACCAGATTTCAGCTACTTACCTGTCATCCATTTTTAACTGATATACATTTTTTTAATAAATACAAATATTATTTTGGCATTAGACATTGACTCATTGTTTTCATGAAGGATATCACAGTCATCAAAAACAGGTAAATTATCAAGTAATAAATCAAATGTTGGTGTACTATATGTCATGTTATTTAGCTGATACTGACGAGACGACGATGATTTTCGCGGACGCCATTTGTTGTCGCTGCATATATAGTGTGTTTGCACTTCAAGTAGCTGCTACAGAGAGGGAGCGCGACCCTCCTATGCTGTGTGATAGTGTTCACTTACCCTGACTCAAGTTTCAGCCAAGGGACTGGTCATTTAGGACAGGTGGGATTATAAAAAATGGCATAATAGCTAGAGAGGATACGCTTCCAAAGTTTATCACAGCTATAAATTGGGATTGAGAAAATGGCTTGGTTCTAATTTTCAAACAAAAACATTTAGGTTGGACTTTATGTAGAGACTATTCATTCTTTTAGGGTGTAAGGGACACCTAAAATATTTTTACATGTGTTTAGGGGTTAGTTGGGTGGGGTTCCAACAAAATATGAGTCTTTAGACATTCTCACTGTCCCTAGATCCCTTGTTATAGCATAGTACCAGTCCCTAAACTACTTAACATAAATGTATCTGATTGGAACTAACATGTTTTCCTGATAATGGCCTTTGTGTTACTGATAATGTCTCAGTATGTTTTACAAGTTACTTAATTCGTTAAATTCAGATATTGAATTCAAATGTTGTTGTACTGGACATGTTTTCATACATGCAATCTCGGCCAAAGTAGGTCGTGCGGCAGCCGCTTAAAGAATTGTGTTCATGTGGAAAGAAAGAGTTTGTGCTGCTTTTTAGTTTCTGATTTAAAGGCTGTTGCCCATGCCCCTTTAGATCATGTTTAACTGCACAGCGGTTGTCTCCCCTGTGTATGGTTCTGGACAGATGGCGTCGTAGTGGTCATCAACTTGTATATGCATATGACAGCTGCCTTACTATCAGAGTGTACACTACATCTCGATACTGACATATTGTGTATGGACATAATATTTTGTGACGGTCATAATAATCTCAATAGATACAGTTTGTTCGGACATTACTGTGCGTATCTGTCATAAGAGTGTGTGTTTTGTGTGTGTAACCTGGAGCGTGACTGTACACCTTGGTGTATATCTGCATATGCTGTATTTGTGTATCATGAAGTAATGCTAGTGTAGTGTATATCTTTGTGTATATTTACACCATGGTTTAACAGCTTGAATTTATACTGCTGAAAACAAGTAGAAGGGCACAGTTCTTTCATAATGCTGTAGTTTGTTTCATGACAGATTAACTGTAATGTGAAAAAGTATTGTTCCTTTACTTCTTTTGAGCAGTATATTTTCATTATTTGGTGGATACACAGACCAGGATAGTTAAAACACTAGTGTATTTACAATCTAGGTGTATATTTACATCTGGTGTATTTGTACACTTATTGATTTTAGCACATGTATGTATGTACACATGGTGTATATAATTGTACACATAGTATATTTGTACATATATCCCGGGGTATATGTCCCCAAAATGGCATACTAGTGACCTTTGTTCAGTGATTGGTCACCTTGGTCACGCTGGTGTCACAGACGTGTTTGTGGCAGATGTTACTGTTCCTGGAATACATGGCACTAAGATTCATCCCAATCCTATCAATATGATCTGATTATGAGCCATAGTTGATGGAAAGTGCAGATGTATTTGAATTTGAAAAAATCCTTAAAAACATAATCAAATTTTACTGATTGAAAAAGGAGATAACTTTAAATCAACAATATGACAATGTTGTATTTTTATAATTTTACAATTATTCTGTTGAGAGAGTGGCTTTTACCTGACTGTTGTAGGGCTCAATAATATTTGCATGGAAATATGGAAGCTTAATGACAGGAGTGTTCTGACTTACATGGTGCAATTCATTGATGTAAACTGGATGCACAAAGCATCTTCATTTGAATGTTTTTCATGGCAGCAGACTGACAGTCCTGCTGTTGATACTGTTGGGTTGGACGAGGAGGTGGTGGAATTGGGGATCTTCAGGGGGATGTTTGAGAGGGATGTAGTAGGTGTAGCATAATAAGGCTCCTTGTTTTCTGTAACATATGTTATATTAGGGATTAAACTTGCTGAGTAAAGTACAGATTCTTGTACTTTTGTTGGGTTGAATCCCATCCAGGATTCGAACCCACACCCTCATGTAATAATCGCCTGCACACAAAGTCAACCACCTAACCTGCTCAGCCACCATGGCTTCCACATGTTCACTGTTTCTGATTGGAATGGAAATTTGTGATAGTCTTTCAGTCATGTCTGGTTGAAGAATAGAATTACACCCTGTGACCATGGCTACCATAGACATACACAAACAGTTGATATTTTACTAATGGGAGACATGATCTGACACTTTGAACCAATTTACCAGAACTGGAAACCAGTTATTAAATACAACTCCCTCCCTCCACAACCCTCCATTTTCTTTTCACCTCCTCATCACGAACCAACCCTTCAACCCTATTGTCTTTACTTGATCTCTCATCGTCATGGTTACCAGGTAGTCGATCTTCAGTTTACTCTGTTGTTCACTATCTTGGATCTCTAACAGATATTTTGATGTTTCTGCCAAAATAATGAGCCTCTCTGATTTGTTGATCCAATTGTAATATAGCTTTAACAAAGCGGAATTCTTGTCCATCATGTTTGTGTGTTTTGCTGTAATTTTATGCTGTTGTATATTTTTACAGATTTGAATCAACGGTAAAATGATAGCAGTTGTTGAAAATGAAATATATGTTTTCTGTTCATGAAATGAAGTAGGTAATGCATGTGTTTGACCTTATGCAGAACTTCTGTATGAGATCAACAAGGTTGTTTGTGTTAATGACTGATCGGGATAGAAAACCAGACATGTTTCCATCCTACTGGTAAACACAACTTAAGAAAAACATGCACACAGCTCACCAGCGCAGCCCCTCTGCATAGAGCAGTCGTCTTCATCTGCATTCCCCCATAAAAGTCCAAGTGAGAAATGGTCTTCAGCAAATAATGCTTGTCTTAAGAGCTGACTCAATAAAAATTCGGACTCGTTTGATGCATTCATCGTATCACTGGATTGTCTGGTCCAGACTGCTGGGTTATTAACGAGTGCAGTGTTAACAACACGTAAAACATCAACATAGGGACATTCAGAGATCAGTTACAATGAGATGTGTCATGAGTGCCCCTTGCTTCTTTGTTCATTTGACTCACACACTCTGCTTGTTTCAAAATATCAAGTAGTTTACTCTGTTCGGCACATTGTCCATTAAAGAAAGAATATGAAGAGAGAAAAATTAAAACAAATAACATTGTATCCTTTCAAAAAGGCTTATCCTGGGGACAAAACATGATCAGTTTGTGACATCATGGACAATTAATGACATCACATCATATTGATCTCAACGATGCAGTAATGAGACACCAAATTACACTGTCACATTTGAAAACAGAAAAATGCACCTGCAAATATTCAAAGGTTTTGCCCTTTCAGTTTTGAACCTTTTGACTGTCCGGTAATTTGTCAGTTTGTGATATCTACAATTAATGACATCAAGTCCTACTGATCTCAACAGTGCAGTAAAGTGACACCTAGTTATCCAGTCAACATTGAGAACTGAAAAATGCACATGCAAAAATTTGAATGTTTCAAACTTCAACCTTTTGACTATCCAGTAATTTGCATTGAATAATGATGTTCTGCACTGAAGTGTCTTGCATACTTGAATCAGGGTGTCTGGCTACATACCTGCTTATTGAGGGTAAGTAGTACAGTGCAGTTTTTCTTTCGTTAGTTTACCAGTACCAGTATCTCTAGGTACAAGGTTTACCAGCCGTATGTACATAAGTACAACTGTCTACATATCAGAGTGAGTTTCCAGCAGGAACAGTCCAACACATTGCTGTGCATCGTGTAGACAATGGATATTTATGACAAAGCTGTTAAAAGTGCTGAATCATCAGTTTTGTATGAGTATTCACTGTTGCTGATATGCTCTCATCATCCAAAGGCCCTCGTACATATCACACGTTTAGTAATCTGCTCAAAGTCTAAGGAGTTTACATGTATGTTATCATAAAATGCATAAACCATATCCATCAGTGTTGATAGATGTAAAGCTGTATTTTGATAGAAACAAAGGGTCAAGAGTAAATGATATGGTTCCTACTACCAGCTTTCACTAATTTGAATGTCAACTGTAACAGTGTTAGGGACATAGGTAAAATTATTTTTTGATTGTATTTTATCTGGATATGTAAAAAAACAACAACACATTTTTGAAACTGCAAAACAGTTGATTCAGATTTTGAAAGTTTTGTATCGGGAATCATATCTTTATTAGTCTTTTAGGTCAGAAAATTGATAAATATTGGTTGTTGTGTTTTAAGATGAAACAAAAAAAGGGTTTGGACCATATTTGCAAACACTAATCTTTAAATGGTGAAATTTGCAATTTTTCCTTTGTTGAGTAGGAATGTATGGTGACAATATGATGGTTGAATTTGTTTTAAAGTTAGCTATTAAGTTAGCTACATAGTTGTTACAAAACGTAGACATCAGTGTGAGAACTGAACCCACATCCAGATATCCACACTGGGGTAGTGTTGGGTGAATCAGACCCTACATACAGACAGACTGACATCTGGACCCACTGGTACAGACAGACACTCGCACAGACTTGTATACATGTCACACATGGGCAAGAATCAAGTTGTTTTCTTGTCACTTTCCCAATCGGGTTCAACAAATACCGTCCTTTGTCATTTTATTTATTTTTATCTTTTACCAGAAGTATTTTGGGTGTAGCTTTCTTTCATTCACATGTGTGATCACCGGACATTCTCTCTATTTTGATAACAGTGTATATATGTACCACCGACTCTGTTATCTGCTCTCTTGAATGAAATAAAGGTATACAAGTAATACCATGTGTTTGTCTTTACTGCTCTTTGGCACATGGAAGACATCATGTAAACAGACCCTTGGCATGTCTCAACAATCTCACAGACGAAATATGTAATGGTCCCAATATTGATACAGTAGAAGCTTGTGATGTCCCAACACACACAGTAGACCCTTGTGAATCAAAACTCA